AACCTCACTTTCAGTTAAACCAGGTGGACTGATTTTTACAGTAGGGGAACATGGCTCAGGTTTGTTTCTCATTTTCATTATCACACTTGAACTACCTGTACCACTGACCCCGATATGATCTCATTAAGGTCACATGTAATTAACTGATAGGCACCTAGTGGAAGCTGATTGATGCAGTCTGGGAGTAAAAAATACGTAGGAAAAAAATGACTTTAGGACCACAAAGCAATGATTAATTTGCTGTAAATTACAGGAATAAATATTCCTATTCCTTTCATAGGATAATAAAATCTCACATGCAGAGTGAGTATTGTTACTCACCTTTCTTAGTAATTGTAGCTCATTTGCACTGGAAGTCTAAAAACATCACAACATACTTATGAAATGGTTAAATAAAAGGGTAAAAAGGGTTTTGCTTTTTTTTTTTTCCTGAACAGGCAGTGAATACTATGATCCTTGTGTCCTTAAAGGCTACAGTTGTTTTTGGCTTCTTATACTATTAATGCAAATTATTTTAGGTTAATAAATAATTGGAAGCTGAAGTCCAGTTGTTTAATAACCTGGCCTCAAATCATTAACTGACAGACATCTCCAACAGTAAAAGACAAGAGCCCCACAAAAAACAAAAAAAAAACAAAAAAAAAAAAACACACACACAATAAACAAAACAAAGGTTTCCACTTTTATAGTACACAGTCCCAGTAAAGAGATTGGCTCATACAGTCATGCTGTATTCTAATGGCAATGTTTTGCGAAACATAAGTGCACATAAGCTCACAAGAGATATTTTTCATTGTGAAGTAGGAAAAAAGTCCTCAATATTGTTTGCAAACAGCTGTTCATGGACAACTTCGGATCAGCATTTCCAAATGTGGAAATGGCTTCTTGGACCTTCTGAGGCAGAATTCTGAGTCTCAAATGACAGGATCTGAATTTCACAGTCAAATTCTTTGCTTTACATTATCGAAGTTGCCAGGAGGCATCATTAATAGCAACTAATGAGGGAATTCAGAACAACTGGGTTTACCCTGCAAAGGATTACCCATTCTTTAAGAAGACAGTCTTCTGTCAGTGAACTCAAGCATCAACAACAATATTTGTGTAGCATGGTGTTTCACAGACACAGCTGATAAGCATAGCCAGTAGAATTAAAAAATGATGATTAACAATTAGCTCCGATAGCTAAACATGCAAAACATACAGCCTTTACAAGGCAGTCCCTTGTGGACTGTAATTCCTCACACATACCACTTTGTGAGTTTCAAGCTCTTCAGAAAACAGCAGGAGCAGAACCTGCTGTTTATGGCAAGTTCATGTGCCAACAGCTATGGTATTTCACACAGCTGGAAGAACTGAGGTGTCACAGGCACTAACCTTTGCCTGAGTAGAAATCTGCCCACAAGCAGCACTGCCTTTAACCTCATAAGCAAACTGTTAGATGGGCAGCTCTTACTTAACAGACTGAACCAGCATTAATCATGCATCATAGCTTAGTGTTGACCATATGTCCCATTAAGTCATACTTTTGATATTCCAGACCTTCATAAAAACATACATGCATTTTCATTGCTTGGAGCTCATAAATATTGTTAAGGGCAGAACCAGAAAGAAACATCCTGCACAAAAAAGCTGCTATCACACCTAGCCAGCCTTCACAGCTCTTCTAAGCCCTTGCTCCTTGTTCTAAAGATTTTCAGACCAAAAAACCTCCTAGCATACTTTTTTCTTAACTCCATAAACAGGTCCTACATATTCTTTTACTTACACACACACACACACACACACACACACACTTAATTATTCTTCTTTAATGACTTCCTTCTAAAAGAAGCCTATTTCGTTCTTGTTTTAAAAATATTCTGATCACGCAGAATCATAGAATCATAGAATTGCTCAGGTTGAAAAAGATCTTAAAGATCATCAAGTCCAACCACAACCTAACCATACTACCCTAAATCTAACAGCCCTCTGCTAAATCATGTTCCTGAGCACCACATACAGATCTCTGGCAAATATCAGACCAGTACTCACAAGCAATTTTTTTTATGTATAAAATGGAAGATATATTTTTAAAAATATTCCTTCTTAGCAATTGAAACTGAATAATCCCTATGAAGAAAAACTTCCTAATGTTAAATGCTGGAGTTGGATCTGAGTGAAAGAGTATTCACGTAAACACCTTGTCATTGTTTATATATATGTTTAAGTGGTTAAAAATTTCTAGATATCACTGTGCTTATACTTGCTAACAGAAAATACTCTTTTTTCAGATAATACTCTGTATTGGAGCACCAAATGTAAACAACTTTAACAAAGGCTGACAACCTTGCTACCCAGCATTACTAGAACTTACAAACTGCAAGAAAATGGGAAGGATAAGGGAGGAGGACATTCCACTGAGACTGAGAATATAAACTAATCTTCATTAAAATTGTGTGATACAAAGCTATTTGTCATCTCCATATTTTACATGATGGTAACTTGATCAAATTTCTTGATGGTGCAGATTGATGAAACTCTGTCACTACTGAAGGAAAATAACCTCTTAATAAACATATAATCACTAGCAGACCTAGGAGACTGAACCACAAGTCACCTGGAAAAAGATCAGCTACTGTATTGTTTTCTCATGGCTAGGTACCCAGATAAGTGGTCCGAAGAGCACACTGACACTTCTTCTGCTTCATTAATCCAGCCTCTTTCCAGAAGAAAGTCAGATTTTCTTTAACAGCCATTACAAACCATAGCTTCTAGTGAACAGATGTGGTGGTGCAGCTTCCCAGATCACTCTGTGATCTCCAGATAAACTACCATTGTGGTTTGATCTTGCATCAAGTGTAGTAAGTTGGGATGACCAGATACTCCCTATTGGTGACAAGAATTCCTGCTCCTTGAGACACAGCTTGAGCTAAGGGGTACCAAAACAGTACAAGCTGGAGAGTATTAGAACAGCACAACTTGCGGAGAACGCTCCAGAACTCACCAAATTATTATCTTATCCAATAATTTCTTCATCTGCTTCTGGCCAGAGTAGAAAACTTTTTTACTAAAATCAATTATCTCAAGGTCCTATAAACAAGGGTCCTATGCAAAGAGCCCTTTGAGCTCCTGTGGTCCACAGTGGGCTGTGACTCTTGATCTCCCTCTGACTTGATACACCACTCAGGGTAGGCTTTTTGTTTGTTTGTTTGTTTGTTTGTTTTTTGTTTTTGTTTTGTTTTGTTTTGTTTTGTTTTGAGGTCAGTGTTAAAGAAAAAGAGGCCCTTCTGGGATAGATCCCATTGTTTGCTGAGTGCCGGTGAACAGGAAGGGAGTAATTTACCAAGGGAAAAGGTCCTTGTCTGTGCAATGAAGTTTAGGAATTTCTGCTTGAATTGCCCTTCATGTTCCAGGTCTATCTTGCCAATCTTGAACCATTAAATTGCTGTATTTGATTGCAGTACTTTCCATTAAATCATGGTGTTAAATTGGCTAATGATTAAGTGCTGATTAAGTGCTACTAAGAATTATACACTCAAAACTTGTTATTTACCAGCAAAATATTAATAAAACTTAAACTGCCACTAAAACTAGACTTGTACAGAATCAATCCTCAGCAACAGATGAAGACAAAGCACACTGAGCTTCAGATACCATTATGGTTGCCTTAAAGCTACCTATTAATTTCCACAGAAACTATAACAGATAAAAAGAGCATAACAGTAATATTTGATAGAGCAAATTCACAGCTACAAAACACTACTTTTCAACACAGACATCACCATTAACTGTGCTCTTTCACCAGTGATGAATAAGAGCCTGCAAGCCACTGGAAGTGACAGCTGTGCATGGCTGTCTAGGAAGTAGCTTGTCTTTTATGTTGCTGTCACCACTGCTGATGCACCACACACAGTCTCTCTGTGCTTAAATCAATTAGTGGGTCTCCCCTCAATATTGAACAAGCATCGATGAATGTCAAGGGATGCCACTGTTTCTGCATGGAGGAATTCAATGACACGCCTTTGCTCCATGCCACTTCTAAATCAGATGCCATTCTGTCAGACTGCCCCTCTGCTGCCACCTGTCACATGGCATCAAAATAAAACAGTATTTGCAGGACAGTTCTACCTCTACTGCCATACCACCAACATCCCCCTCTGACATTGTCAGACAGCATTATAAAATAGGAGGCATTAATTTTTGAGCAGCCCTTGTATGTAGCTTTTAGAGTAATGAAAGCATCAAGGTTGAAAAAGAATAGCATGAGAAATAGCATTCATGAGTTTTTGTTATGCAGTTATGAAGTGAAGAATCAGAGGCAAGGGGGCATGGAAGGAATGCATAGCAATTGCAGCCCGCTTCTGTCTGAGCTGCCCACTCGCCTTTGCTCAATACGGCTGTGCCATGCAGACATTTTTCACATTGTGTCTTGGTGTCCCTGCACAGCAGACACTTCTTCATTGTATGCTGCCAAGCACAACTAACTTGAGTGATACATCAAGCTGCTGGGAAGCTTGCAGAGAAACTGTGAAATCTGAGACTTGAAAACTTTCATTTCTATACTGAATATTGACTAGGTAAGCAAGTAACACCCTGAAGTACACAAAAGAATTTTTGTACTGTTTGTACTGCATTAAATATCTAAACGGACAGTAGGAAATGATCTGTAGCACTTAGGTGTTATTTTGCTTTTTAAAATATCACATGAACATGGATAGCACTATGAAGAGGAAAGTACAAAGCAGAACAGATGGGATTGACTGTGTGATGTTCTGCCTTGTGTGGTGGTCTAAGGAGACTTCTTCGGTTTTCTCTAAGTCTTTCCTCTGACAAAAAGACATTTCTTAGCTCTATTTGCTCTTCTTTCTTAAAATCACCTACTAGACACTGTAACTGCTTGTTCCAAATCCCTTCTATCCTTGCATAATGCTGCTTTTCTATTACAATACCAAATAACCCTTTCAGGAGGAGTTCAGCTATCTAGCACCCGTTACAAAAAGTAAATACAGTCACACACTTACTGTGTCATCTCATATTCTTCTCTCTGTGTTTGACCTTGTAGATCACATTTTTTCTTTTCATTCAGCTATCCAAGACTCAAACTCTTCTGAGCAGGGTCCTAGAGCACAGTGAATGCTGCTTGCTATGGGTGGCAGCTATGTGCCAGCTCTGTGGCAGAGGCGGTAGCATTTCAGTGGTGTTGCATGGCACAGAATGTCTTGAAATCTGAAGTGATAAATCTTCTCTTGGTGCTTGGTTAACACATTCACAAACGATGCTAGGTTTCATGGAAATTAGGTTAAAATTTGATCTCCTTGATGAAGATGTCTGAATTTCTTTCTAGTTGATAAATACTTTGGAATAACGAAGACAGATGAGAACAGAAGCAGATGGAACACAGCAGTGTGTAAAATCGCATTCTGATTAGGACTGTGAACTACACACCTTGTGTAAAGTAACATAAACAAGTTAATAACTGTTTAGGAGATATTGAAATTCTGGAAATATTCTTCTCTATTCAGTTGTTTACAGGGTGTGTCTTTGAGTCTGAAACTTGATCCCCCTGAAAATGTCACTCAGCCCTGCTGGCAATGCCTTGCTTCCAGCCAGTACACATGTTCCTGCAAGTGAAGAATCTGAACAAGCTCCTCTCTAGAAATGCAAATTCATCCTCTGGGATGGTGTTGTCCCAGATGCCACTATGCTATCCACACTAGGGAACCACTACCACACTTACAGAAGGCAGCTCTCACATCAGGTAACCGTGGGCTGCTGGATGACAGAGGCTGCCTCCAAGAAGAGGAAGTGCAATCAGCTATAAAGCTGTAGAGAAATAAGAGTGTCTTTAGGACCGTAAGTTGCCTGGTATGCTCAACCCAAGTTTGTGCAGAAAGCACAGGTTTGAACAGGTAAAAGAATGGAAGTAATTTCAGGTGTGACATTTTATTCAAAAGATATTGCAGAAATAGGAACTGAGCCTGAACAGTAAATGTCCGGCTATTACTGGAGGAATTTAGTTGGGGAGCCAAATGTTCCTCACCCAAAGCACCCCGTAGCTACATGATCCCTGCATACTTCTGTAGCAGTCAGAAGTGCTACAGGAGTGAGTACTGAATTTTTATGCTTTGATTTAGAGCAATAAATTTCAGATACCTTTGTAAAAAATTAAGGAATATCTAGTAAAATAACCTGGAATTGAGGATTCTCAGGCCATTGGCCCTTTCTACAAAAGTGACCTGAGTGTTCAATCTGGTATCATTCCCTTGAAATGTGACATAATCAATTTGCTCTTAAATAAGATCCCAGAGAAGCTGTGGGTGTCCCATCCCACAGGCATTCAAGAGCAGGTTGGATTGGATCCCAGGCAGCCTGATCTGGTGGGTGGCAATCAGCCCACAGCAGGGGGTTGGGTCTGGATGAGTTTTAAGGTCCCTTCCAACTCAAGGCAGTCTGTGATTCTATGATTTTATGAATGTTTTAGGAAAGAAATAGGACTCTGCTGTTCACAGTCAGCCACCTATGTTACCTGAAATGTCATCAGAGGTGATATTCTTCCTGGGGCTGGATCCTTCTGCTTTGCCCATTCCACACCAACAGGACGTGGTTTTTTTTCCCTGTGTAATGGATTCCATGCTGCAGACACATGCGTAACTCGATGCTGCAAAATAAAAAGTATAATCTCTTACAGTGTGCTGAAAGGGGTGTGCTGAGTACCCAAACTGATGTAAGGAAGTAGCTGAGCAGGGGAGTCTCCTACTGCTGGCCAGGCTTGTGCTGCAGGCAACTGCATGGTGAGCTTGCACTGACATCTTGTGGCAGCAAAATGTGCACAGATTTACACAGGCCGTTGCTCTTGCTTCACTCCATGTCCCAGGAGCTGCTGTGCTGGACATTACATCTACGATGTATTTACTCAAAGAGCTTTATTTTAACTGCTTTTGACCTTATCACAGTAATGCAAGCATTAAAAATAATTGAGGTAAAGCACTAAAATCCTGGTGTTTTCAGTTCTTTGTATCCCAGAACTTAAATCTGTGGTCATGTTGTACATACCACTGCAACAATTAACTTTCACAAGCTGCTGGGGCCTCTGCACTACAGTATTGTAATAATTTGAATCGTTTGCTCTGAAAATGTTCTCAGAAGAGAAATCTTTTATGACTGAATGTAGAATACATTCAAACATTCATGTTGGAAGTAGAATATTCTATTTTAAATTTATCTTGTAAAAGGGTACATTTTAAATTTAGAAACCTAAAGACAAGCAAAATGCAGCGCTTTTTTTGTCAGAGATTTTTTGTGAATGTAAAAATTATTTATGTCAGCCCTTATGTTGTCTACCCCAATGTCTTCTGATTTTCCTTATCTCTATTTTCCATCAAGTCCGTTTTAAGAAACGTCTTATTGCAACCCTTCTTTGGTACATTAACTCAGAAAACAATGCCGTGTTCAAAAGATTTATGTAAGTGCTATGCACTAATGAAAGTAATTTGATGTGCTAACCACTTATTACACTGAGCTTGTTTCTTAGTTCTTCACACCTTATAGACATTTCTGATTATGCATTTCTAAGAAACAAAACTCCACCATTCTAATATAGGCATCAATATCAATAATTTTATCTTATTTATGTCAACAACAAAGTAACACAGGGAAACACTTACGAATTTAGAGCAGTGTCTGTTCCATAACCCTAGGATAATAAAGATGCAGTAGAGTAGAAGTACCACTAGGTGGGGTAGCCCCAAGGATGCTATTTGGCTGAGAGAGCTCGTCTGGACAAAATTTTTTATTTCATTTGGCAAAGCTAGAATAAAATTACTCTCCTGCTGGTTGAAGGGGTGTCAGAGCTGTTAGCACCTATGTATTAGAGTTAAAAGCCTGCTGAGAATGTTTTATTCACTCTTTGGCAGGCAGGGAAATAACATATTTATGTTGGAAAGTTGTTTTAAAAATCTGTAATTAAACAGTGTCAAGGGAGCTATTAAGCCTTTTTAAAAATAGCTTCTGAAGTTTAAAGAGTCATCAAGTATTGAAAGAATATAAGGAAAATGAATGTATAGACACAATACAGTCAGAACTCTCATGTAAACATGCCTTGGTACCAGACTTGAAATTGGCCAAGAAGCACAGTTTAGAAAAGTAGATCTTGGAGTTTGGGAAATTACAGACCAGAATATCAGGCAAATTAGGAGAAAAATATACAAACAAACAAATAATGGGCAGTGCGTTCAAGACTAAATATTAAATACTGAGGAAGGGTTAAGCCAGCTTTGCTTGGGGAACATGTGGCTAAGGACCTGTTCAGGTACCTGTACAAGTCAGTGAGTGGGCAGGGAGAGGCCTCAAGTGTAGGGGCTCCCAGAGGGAATCTATGCCCAACAACAAGGATAAAGTATAAAAAAAATGGCTGATGTGGAAGAATAAAAGTTTGGAAACAAAGGCAGAACACTTTTCTTATCATAGAGGTGGTTTGAGTCCCACAGATTTACTTTGAACCTGTGCTGTTTGGCATGAAGCCAACTGAGAAAGTGAAAATTCCCAGTTCCAGAAGCTAAGTCATATGTAAGTATCAATTAAGTCTCCCATTTGTAACCTTTTTGGGGACATGTGATTGTATCTAATAACACTAATATGTGAACAACTAGAGATAATAGTAGGGCACAACTTCTGTCACACCACTGCTGTAGCTTCCAGGGTGAGAGCAAAACAATCTTACGCACAAATAATGGTCAAATGGAATGAACTCAATAAGAAGCGCAGAGCTAGACATACAGACAGACAGTTTTTAGAGGTGGTGTTGATTTATTTCTCACCATTAAGGGCAAGCTCTTAATGTCACTGACAAGAAGTTTTTGCATCAGCCTCAAGGTGGAACTGTAGGCTCATCTGGACCCACGGGTAGGGTGAAGCACTCTCGGAGAGGGCTGCTCGCAAATCTGCTGCGTAAGAGCCTGCAGTCACTACATCATCTACTCAGAAAATTGCTAACACTGTTTTTATTTGAGCAAAAAAACAGTGATGGACAAAACTCAGCGTTTACGGGAGCAGAGGTTTCACGCATAGTATTGCTGCCCTACCTTTCATATACCTCCTGGCTAAAGGATCCAAGGAGAAAAACTTGATTTCTTAATGAGGTTGCACTAAGAGGTGCTGTAATAATGTTATGTTTTGCTGCATCTTATTGTGGTGACTGGGACACAAAAGAGGGAGATGGGATGGACAGATAGATGAAACTGTCATAGCTCTCCACAGTACACCAGTAGCCAGCGAGCTGCACCTGAGCAACCAGACCTAACACTTCTCTGTCAAAGGAGTGACTGCTGAGGCTATGGGAGCAGACGTGAAAGAGAGAATGAAGCCATAATGTGGGTTACTGGGAGATCATCAGGCAAGAAATAATAAGAGGGAAAGACCATGCAATGTTTAGTTGTAGTTACAAGCTTTACAACAGTTCAGTGATTAAAAGGTAACTGTTCCTGGACAAAAAAGGTGAAATGACACCACAGCCTATGAAACATTTGGAAAGAGAAATCCCATTAGTCCTAGCATAGCCAAGTATTATTAAAAGCAAAAATTTCTGGACTGAAAATGAAGAGCCCTGAACAAAACAAGAAATAGATGTCCATTCCAGCCTATTCTGTCACAAATGCAAGAAGTTGCTTCTGCCATTGTTGTGAATAGGCAAATATTCTTTCTTTTAGTTTTCCAGTGAATTAATAGCTAGACCACAAAGAGTTAAACATTCTCTTTCCATCAGACACTGCAATCACATAAGTAACTCTGAGCTCTTATGTTGGATCTATCAGTACTTGCAATAATTGAAACATTGGTGCTCTGCAGTCCTCAGGAGGCTTGACAGCATGGGATCACCTATGAGAAGTATGGATGTTATTTTTCATTTTGCCTGCTGTTTTCAATGAGTGGACTGCAAATAAAGCCATTATGTGAAATACAGGGATTGATACAGGAGCAAGTGGTAGAAGAGGATGATGTTGAGAGTCCTGGGATAAGATCATCACTGCCTATTATACATTTGTCACTTGTGTTTGCTTTGTGACATGTATTTCTTGTAAAACGTAAGCTTCTTACCAGTTATGACCCACATGGATAACGTGACAACTTCCAGAACCAGGTGGATGTGCCTGAAACTGCCACAGCAAAACAGGGCAAGTACAAACTCCAGACAGGCTTTACAATACAATGGAGCAGCTGTGTGGAAAAGATAACTCTCAATGAGTCAGCCAACAAACTTTCCTGAGTGGTTTATCTATGCGTGCAGTAACT